CCGCCGCCAGGACAGCCTCCTTCAGGGCACTAGGCCACAGGTCCTGACATGGGCATTTCCCGGAGGGTGAGGTGGGGAACTTGAGTTTACTTGAGGCCCGGACAAGGTGAGGAGAAAAGACCTCCCACCTTCTACAACAAAAGGCATTTCCCATCCTCAGACACATCCTTAGACCCAGTGAGCCCCAGGTCGACCCAGCGGTGCTGACTAGCAACTGTGATGCTTGCTGCCTTCGGGTAAAGCGCCCCTCCCGCCCTTCCCCCAGCCCCCTCTCCCACCACTGCAATCTCTCTCCCATGATTTCCTCTGCTTATCACAGGGACAGTCTCGCTACCAGGCTCCTCTAAACAAGCTTCCTGTTACTAATTTTGCTCCAAAAGGCACCACAGAGATTGACTTATACATCCCCAGGGAAGCCTTGGTTCTGTCTGGGGTCAGGGTGGGGCTGGCTGGATTTCTTTATTAAGGGTGCTGGGAACCCTCTTTTGGGCTTTGAAGCTTCTTCTTCTTCCTTTTTTTTTTTTTTTTTTTTTTTTTTTTTTTAGTACAAAGGAACAGGAAGTCTCTTTTTATTCCTCCTGGGCTTGCCATTCTCCTGGGGAATGGAGCGTGTACAATCCATCAGCCCCCCAAGCCTGGGGCTGGCGCTCTGCTGGGCTGTTTTTACATCCCAGCAGAAATATCTGTGTGCAGACAGCAGCTGGTCTGCTGTTGCGAACAGCAGGTTCACAGGACCAGGGCCAGCGCCTTCTTCCTTAGAGGCAGCCCCAAGGCGCTGTTTACATTTGGAGAAGAGACGTTCCAAAAATATTAAGTGGGGATTTAAAGGCTCTTCTTCAGGGGCTCTGCAACAAACACACTGACCCGGTTACTGGTTCTCAGAATCTGGGCTTCCTGGAAGGTTGCCCCAGAACTCCTGACCCAGTAAGCTGAAGAATGGTGAAGGGTTCGAGGACCTGTATTTTTTAAGTCCTGAGGTTGGGCACTGATGCTGCTGTTCAGAACTACTCTCAGGAAACCACTGGTCTAGATTTTTCTCCTCTGGCCTGTTGTGGGCTGCAGGGTGTAATACAGATACAGGGTTTATTGCCAGAGAGATGAGGGTCCATGGCTTGTTGCCATTCCTCATTACCCGTGTCTCCTAGAGCAAACTACTTAACCCTCCTGGGCCCTGTTCCCTCAGTTGATTGATAATCCTTTCTACAGAGATAGTTTATATCAGGACCCTAAGCATGTTTGGTACGTGGTTTATATAATGCTGACCTCTCTCCCTGTTCAATCCTTTTCTCTCATTGCCATTGAAGGAGTCAACTCAGGGCCTGGCAGGATGACTTAGTGGGTAGAAGGGCTCACCACCAAACCTGATGATGGAAGTGCAATCTTTGGGTCTCCACGGTGGAAGGAGAGGACTGACTCTCCGATTTCCATGCATGTAAATTGGCACATCCCCCCACCCCATATACATTTTTAAAATAAAGTCAATTCAAGGGAGAAGGCCGTGCCAGACAACGCTGGGAAAGAGATCAGTCTCGGATCTCTCACTCTGGGCTGCGTAGGTGACTGTGGGCTTGGGCCCTGGCTACAGGGACGTCTCAGAACACCTGACCACTGTGAGCTGCAGCTCTCAGCCTCCCAGGACCACCTCACAGTCGCCCCGGACACGGGCCAGCTTTTCTTCATCTTGTCCAGGGCTTCCTAACTGTCTCCAGATAGAAGGCTGTGGGCAGTCATTCTGTCTGCCTCTTGGGTGTTGCCCCCTTTTTCACCTTCCGTCAGATAAACTCCTGCCCTGCTTCTTCAGTTTCCACTCTGTTTTCCCTTTCCTTGGGGAAGCTTTGAAATATGTGCCTGGGTCTGGATGTTATAAACGCTTATGGAATTCTGCTCTTTATATGATTATAATTTAATTAATATAAGTATGCTTCCTAAATGACAAGATATGTGAAGGCAAATTCCATGTTTAATCTCTTCTCTACACTGATGTATTAGGCATCATTTGTTGCCATCTAGTATTCTGGAATGGCTCTATTAAATATTTTTTCTCACCAGAATCTGTTTTTAGGCTCTATTAAATTTTTACTTTGTGTGAGGCCATAGCCAGAGCCCATCCGGTATAAGTGTGGGAGTCATAAGTGTGTAAGATTAAAATATAGCAGGGGCTGTGTCGGAGCCATCTACATTAGGATTTCTGGAATTATAACAAAATAACCAAGGCTAGGCGAACTTATAAAAAAGAAATAGAATTCTTTAGATTATAATTTGGGAGCCAAGAGTCCAAATAACAACAGTATTATTTCTGGTAAGGACTTTGTTGTGGGTGACATTGTGGTGGGAATTTGTTGATTACTGTGTGTGAGTGTGTAGTGTGTGTGTTGTGTGTGTGTGTGTGTGGTGTGTAAATGTGTAGGGTGTGTGTGGTAAGTGGGGGTATATGTGTGTGTCGTATGTGTATGTATTGTGTTTGTGCATTGTGCTGTGCTTGTGGGCATTATGGGTGTGAATGCATAGTGTATGTATGTTAATGTGATGTGTGTGTGTAAATGTGTAGTGCGTGTGTGTACATGTGGGGGTATCTATGTGTGGGATGTATGTGTGTGTTGTATGTGTATGTATGTGTGTGCATATATGGAATGTTTGTGTATATGTGTTATATATGTGGAGGTTGTGTATGAATGGGAGTTCATGTGAGAGATAGAGAGAGACAGAGGCGGGGAGAGGAAGTCAGGCCCAGACCTACATGGGGATAGTAATGTTCCCCCTACGTATCCCTAGCTCTTAAGGGTTAAGAATCCCATTATGTCTTAATATTGTTGCCCTGTGACTAAACTCCTAATACACGCACTGTGGAAGATACATTCAAATCATAGCCAATACACAGCACTATCTTTTGGCCAAAATGCTGGTAAAGCCACCCAAATGCTCGAGAAGAGTGGTGGACGGTTCTGGCATCTGGTATAAGGCACTGCTGGTGTAGAGTGATCTATTGCCCTGCAGTTGCCCTGTGATCTGATTGAAAATTTCAGATTAGTAATTGTGAGAATTGTAACATACAATATTAACAACTAGGTTCTTGTTAGTGAGAGCAGACTTGGAAGTAAGAAAGCTGGCAAGAACACCAGCCCACCGGAACCTGGTATAAAGCACACAACAGAAGCTCCTTAGTGGGTTTTGAATGAAGCAGTTTATTGTATCATTCCTGTAGACACACACCGACGCCCAAGAAGCTATGTGGGTCTCACCCATCCTCACAGCCTGGCTCACGTCACTTGCCCTGGTGGACTATGTGGCTCTGGGGAGGACCCCACCTTTCTGCTCAGTAACACAGGCTCAGGCAGGTCCTGCTTTGACCAGTGAGTCTGAATGGAAGTGTAGCTCTCAGATAGAAGATGGAAGAGCCAGCGTGTGACCATCCATGTCCTTTCCGCTTGTGTTCTCTCAATGATCATGTTCCATGACAAAGTCACAGACCACTGGGTACTGTGAAACAGGGTTTGCTTTCACTGTGCGACTGAGTCTGTCCTAAGGGCTCCGCTTCTCCTTCTCCTCTTTCTCCTTCTTCTTTCCTATTCCTCTCTTAATGAGAACAAGAACTAACTGAGGCAGGATGTGAATGCCGGCATGGCTACTCTAGGGTCTATCACTTCTGAACTACATACTAGCTCTCACCTAGAGAAAAAAAGCTGGCTGGACATATTGGGGTCCCACATAGAGGCCCAGCACTTGGGAGGCAGAGACAGGACACAGAGTTTGAGGTCAGTCTTGGATGCTTCACAGGGAGTTTAAGGTCAGCTTGTGTTAAGTAAAATCCTGTCTCAGAAATGGAGAGAGGAGCTGGAGAGATGGCTCCGAAGTAAGGAATGCTTCCTGCTTTGAGGAGGACTTGTGTTCAAACTAGGCAGCTCACAGCTGTCTGAAACTCCATGCACATTCTCTCTCTGTCTCTCTCTCTTTCTTTTTTTCTGTCTGTCTGTCTGTCTCTCGCTCATGTGCACCCATGTGTTCACAGACACTCACAGAATCATAGACATGAATGAAAATAAAATAAATCTTTCAGAGAAGAAAGACAAGGGATTGGGTGCTTAGCTCAGTGGCAGAGCGCTTGCCTAGCAAGCACAACACCCTGGGTGTGGTCCAAACCCAGAAACAAAGAATTCACAGACTCATGTTTAGGATTGCAAATGGGAAATTTGAAGGAACTATACATTCTGAGCTATTTAAAGAATAATTAAGCAGCACCTTGCAAAGTGATATGCAAATGAACTTGGAAGCTTGTTGAGAGAACTATTATTATTATTATTATTATTATTATTATTACTATTACTATTGCGATAGAGTCTTACTGTATAGTCCTGGCTAGTCTAGACCTTACTATGTAGGCCATGCTGGACTTGAGCTCACAGAGATCGACTTGTCACTGTCTTTCAAGTGCTAAGTTGAAAGGTGTATTTCATGTCCTGTGAAGAAAACTAAATTTAAAAAAAATATAAATTAATAACATTCGTCTCAGGAGACAGAAAAATACAAAATGCACCAATCACCCCAGAAAGAGTTGAAGAGACTATTAAAGTCTACCCACCCACTTCCCTGACTCCTGTTAAAAATGTCAGCTTTCATGACTGAATACTC